TAACTCAGGGAGAATAATTGCTGAATAAATTATGTTATTATTGTTGTCTTTGTGCACAAAAAGTATTCTCGTAGCTTCATAAAATTACGGTCGAACCCCTGATGTCACATGGACTATTATACCGATGTCCTTGCTACGTTTCTGTGCGTTGATCGTGGTAATATCATTGCTGTCTATGGAGGGTCAGAGAGCTCTCAGATTCCATCAAAAATATCTTAATTTGTGTTCCGAAGATGAACGAATTTCGGAAGATGAATGGTTTCCGAAGATAAACGGTTTTACGGGTTTGGAACAACATGAGGGTGAGTAATTAATGACAGAATTTTCATTTTTGGGTGAACTATCCCTTTAACACTGAAAAAATATTTGTTTATCTGTTTGATGCATAATAAGGTGGTCTGATCTATTTCTGGTGCTGGAGCTTGTTTGCCTGTCCGGACTGTCTAACCACATTGACCCATCTGCCTGTCCCTGACTGTGAGCTTGGATTTCCCTGTTGGTACTGTGTGCCCATCGTTCAATCCCTGCCTGTCTGATTTCAAAATATCATTGCTGTCTATGGAGGGTCAGAGAGCTCTCAGATTCCATCAAAAATATCTTAATTTGTGTTCCGAAGATGAACAAATTTCGGAAGATGAATGGTTTCCGAAGATAAACGGTTTTACGGGTTTGGAACGACATGAGGGTGAGTAATTAATAACAGAATTTTCATTTTTGGGTGAACTATCCCTTTAACACTGAAAAAATATTTGTTTATCTGTTTGATGCATAATAAGGTGGTCTGATCTATTTCTGGTGCTGGAGCTTGTTTGCCTGTCCGGACTGTCTAACCACATTGACCCATCTGCCTGTCCCTGACTGTGAGCTTGGATTTCCCTGTTGGTACTGTGTGCCCATCGTTCAATCCCTGCCTGTCTGATTTCAATTCTTGTCTCAAAATTTGGATGTGGTTCCCTGCAGACTGTCCTAGATTCTGACCCCTGCCTGCTTGATCAGTCTTCTGCCTGCTGCCATGAACTGGTTTGTTCAGAGTGCTTTTGCTTTCATTTAATAAATGTACTGCTTTGCAATTAAATCTTCAGCTGATCCCGTCCAGTTCTAGTGACTCTAGTTCTGTTCAGTGCCTTAGCCCTTCCTGCATGATTCCTTATCACCTCTTCTTCCTCCAGCTCATTAATCCCTCCGGCACTGCCTTTGTCTATAGTACCCCTGGCTCTACCTTTGCCTTTGGACCTTCGGGCCTTTGGCAGCACCTGGGCCCTCCAGCCCTTTGCATCCACTGTGGTCCTCAGTCCCTGTGGCTCCACCTTTGTCCTCATTCCCACCAGCTCCACCTTGGTCTGCTGAGCCTGCGGCTTTGCCCTCGCACTTTATTTGTCCAGTACCACCTTGGTCTCCACTCTGTCTCGACCCTAGGGAGTTTAAAATATTAGTACTTGTTCTAATACACACTCCTATTGTTTCACTTTAGAAGAGGTTCGTTCATCCACTGGGATGGATCACTATTGTATACATTTTGCATGGTTTTTAAAGTGTCAGCTTTGAGGGACCCATACAGTTGTATTTTATGGACTCCTGCCAGAACAGGATCCGGGACGTCTCAGTGGATCTGAATCTCTTTTCAGAAGTGGTGTTATAGGGTGGCACCAAGCCATGTCTTTACCAGTCAAACACATTGTTTTCTATGAGTGTATGCACACCAGCGGTGCCACTTCATCAGAGGTAGACAGAGGCATCAGCGGAGAACGAAGTACATTTACTTGAGTATTGTACTTAAGTACACGTTTTGAGTATCTCTTTAATGTGAGTATTATTTTTTCTGGAAACTTATGACTTTAACTTCACTACATTTGAAAGAAAAATATCATACTTTTTACTCAACTACATTTCTATCAAGGTCCTCGAAGTAGAACGTCATTACTATGTAGCAGCTTTAAAAATCAGTGGGTGTTTTTTTGTCTCTAAAACATGACACTTTTTTCAGACAGTCTATCAGTAAGGTGACCATGATTTCACCAATTACAACATGTTCCTGGATCAACATCCTTGTTGATCCTGGAACAACATTCCAATTAACCAATCAGAATTGAGGGATAACTTTTCAGGAAATATCTGTTTTAGGCTTACGATCAGGATTAGGTGCTTCTACACCCTTGTTAATCAGCTATCATTTCCCTCTGATTTTAGGAATAAATTATGGGTAAGGTTAGGTTTAGGGGTAGGGATTGGGTTTAGTCTATATTTTTGGACAGTAATGTAGATCCAGGATCAACAAAAGACGTTGATCCAGGAACATGTCTTACTTGGCAAAATCATGGCGACCCTATCAGTAATCACTCTTGTAGGGTTACGTGGAGTGATTTCCCAGTATTTTTTTAATACTGACTAGTTGCAAATGTCTAAATAAATAAATGTGATATTTATTTACAACAGTTCAATAAGAATATTAATACTGTGGTACATATTAGACACAATAGTGTTTGATTTAGCAAAATTGTGTAAATTAAAATATTACCTATCTACCTTTTTCTTGTAAAAATGGGCGTGGCCATTTGTAAATTCTATGGGTCTGGCTTCCGGTCTCATCTGCATCCACTCCGTCCAGCTATTTTTAGCTGAACAAAACAGTTCGTTTTGCTGCTTGATATTGAAAGCCACAGAAGAACTGTTGCGTGTCTCCTAACAAAACACAATAGGTGTTGGACTTGAAGCAGCACAGCACAGACCGTTCTGTGTGACATCAAAGTACCGCGAGAGCGATTAGACAGCATTTTTAAAATGTTTGTTTTGATGTCAAATAAGTCTGT